TTTTCTAATCAAGACTATAGAAGTTTGGAAGGTCCATCAGATTCATCGAAGGCATTTATCGTCACCAACAATCCAAACTCGTTGAAGGCAATTCAAACTATCGAAAACCCTGAAATTCAAACTCGTCCAAGGCAATCCACTCRTCGACGGCTGTCTTTCTAGAGAACAACAATCCACTCATTGGTGAATTGGTGAGGGCATTTATTTGTCTTGAAGGCAATCCACTTGCTGTTGGCTCTATCTTCGATTAGAGAGACTGGATACCAGTGGTCCCTTCATAAGAACTTGGAGGAAGATGAAGAACTGGAGGAGTACTTTAAGACACTRACGGTAAGGAAGATAAGCCTCGGCAATCTGAGAAAAGTGTCAAAAGTTTCATTTTGAAAATTTAAAGAAGAATGATGGACAAAATAGTCTTTTTAATCRTTTGGTTAACAAACACTGACGGTAAGGAAGATTTAGTTAATTGTCAAAAACATTAGAGATACCAAATTAGCCAGTCCCCTTGAGTAGCATAAGACAAGGGAATATTCAAAATTGCACTAGCATCCCTTGGGCCGAAAAGCTCATGAATCATTTCAACATCCCATTCCTTGTGGCCTAGAATCCTTAGGTACAAAACCACAATATCTTCAAGCCCCTCAACTCTAGGCAAATCATCCTTAAAGTTTCCCATCTCCTTAAGCCACGGATCATCCCACACACGGATATGTTGCCCATTCCCAATTCTCCACCTACAACCCTTCTCCAAAACAATGCGAGAATGTCAAATGCTTTTCCAAGTATAACTTGGATTATGCCCACATTGGGCTGCTAGAAAATCCCCCCTGGGGAAGTATTTAGCCTTGAAAACACGACAAACAAGAGCATCTAGGTTGGAAAGGATATTCCAACCTTGCTTCGCAACCATTGCTAAGTTGAAAGCTTGCATATCTCTAAACCCCATACCACCCTCTTCCTTCCTTACACAAAGCTTCTCCCATCTAAGCCATTTAATGCCCCCGCCATTAGAGTTGGAATTACCCCACCAAAATGAGTCCATCATTCTCTCCAACTTTTTGCTAAGAGAGACAGGAATCATAAAAGTACTCATGCAGTAGGAAGGGACAACTTGAGCCACAGATTTAATTAAAATCTCCTTACCCGCACGAGACAAAAGCTTATTCTTCCAACCCTGCAATCTCTGCCATAGATGATCCCTGATAAATCTGAAGACTTCCTTCTTCTTCCTACCTATCAGAGAAGGCAAGCCTAAGTACCTCCCTGTGTTAATAGGATTAACAACCCCCAACACGCTAGTCACTCTAGCCATCACATCCTGAGGCACATTTGAGCTGAAAAACACACCCAACTTTTGAAAATTGATTGCTTGCCCCGATGCTTCTTCATAGACTTTTAGGATATTCTTCATGGCATTACATTCCCTTTCCTCTGCCTTGAAGAAGAAAAAACTATCATCCGCAAACAAAAGGTGAGAAATACTAGGCGCAGCCCGACAAATACGACAGCCAGAAATCAGACCTTCTCTTCCAGCCTTATACATCAAAGCAAATAAGCCTTCAACACATAAAATAAATAAATAAGGGGAAAGCAGGTCACCTTGGCGAAGACCTCTACCAGGAATAATAGGCCCAACCTCCATGCCATTGAAAGCTACAGAATAGGAAACTATAGTGACACAAAGCATGATCAACCTAATCCATTTGTCAGAAAAACCTAATTTCTACATCATAAGCTTGAGAAACTACCAGTCCACCCGATCATAAGTAATAGGTGTGCCAATTTTTATTGTGTTAATTGAGTGGAGTTGTTCAAATTAGAAAATAATATACAATACATAACTTTTTTGCATGAAAAAATCAATCAACCCAAGAAAAATTATTTTTGTTGTCCTTCTGTTATTGGTAAGTATGATTGGAAGTCAAAGAATTTTTTTGTCTTTGGCTTAATTTGTTTAATTGAAAAACTAGCATGTCAGGCAAGTGTTGTATGGAAAATGAGAGGAAAAATAAATAGCGGAGAAGTACGGAAAAGTGCAATGCAGATTTCTGATTTTCACTGCAGAGCTATAAACATTCAAAATGTCAAAAACCCCCACTTTATACACCGGTTAACCGAACCACCCCAACTATACTTTGGGCATAAAAATTCTGACCCGGGGCTGAACCGTCATTCTCCTAATAAATAGTCATCAAAAATTGCCTTCTTTTAGATGGGACTCTTGAAATGGCCACATACAATTGACCATGTGTAAATCCTAGAGTTTTCAAAAATACGCAAACATAGTGTTTATCCTTTACTTTTGTTGATTGCCATATCAAAAGCAAGTTTCAATGAGAACTGCCTTCTTCTAAGATTAAAGGGTAATCCTGTATTGGTTGGAGACGTGATGATTCTTGGTATACAAATTGTTTCTCCTATGTGGTTTCTTGTAATGATTTTTGCTTCAATATCCTTGTGCCAAGGTGTAAAATTATCAAACATATTCCATAGTCCATTTGACTGATCCAAATTGTGCAGCAACATAATAGGTGTGCCAATTTTTAATTGGAGTCCATTATACTTTAAAGAGTTAAGAAACTCTTGAGGATAAAGATCATATTCTTGGGATGAATCTACATTCATGGTGTCAGTACTTCGGTAAGAGTGGATACTTCCTAGCATTGCATTAATCTGATCAACTTCACCATTTGTTGGGGCCGGTATCACTTGTTCACAGAGATGAATTTTAGATCTAAATTGCATCTGCAAATCAGGATATATGGAATGAACAAGTGGTTCGACGCCATTCCCTTCATCTTGTATGTGCCTATTCCCATTCCTGACGTTAAGCACCCTTTTTGTAAAATCTGCAGATTCAATAGAATGGAGAGCATTCCTTTGATGCAACCTCATGTTTACATGAAGTTCTAATAATTTACAGGAAGACCATAAGGGAGATCTCTGTATTGATGCAGAAACAGTGTCGGCATGTTGTCCCTTTGTAATGACTGGTAGCTTTTGTCGAAAGTGGTACAACTGTTTTTCTGCCGAATAGTTGGTGATTTTCCTTTATTATGTCTCTCAAGGTACGATCCAAAGCCTTGAAAGCATAGCGATGTGCCATTGGTGTTTCGTTCCGTATAATTAAAGTTATTGCTTGTAACAAGGAGGCAATCCCCGTGGGAGGACTATTTTTCGATGTGCTCTCGACCTTGATATAATTGTTTTCTAAAGAAAAGTTTTCCCTGTTCCCCCACTTTAATACACCAAAAAAAATACCACCTTTGTTCTTCATGCAAAAGTCATTTAATGATTTTCCATTTTTCTCTAGTATCTTTTCAATTCCAAGCAAGGCCCGATTCTGCAAGTCTTCAAGGGTTTAAAATGGTCTTTTCATGCTTCAGGGTTTAAATAGGTCTGTTCAAATTTGAGCAGCATCCAGGGAAGGAATTAGGAAGGGGCATGGCTCCCTTTATAAACATACTTTATTATTTTATTCATTATCTAACAGATCCGTGAAAAAAAAATATCTAATGTCATCTGTTTTTGCCTTAAAAGTGCCCTTTCCATCATAGTTTGAGGGCAAATATGGCCGTTTTCGTTTTTAAGGGTCTAAAGTGGTTTTTCAGGAAAAGTGGTCTAAAGTGATAAAGGGTCAATTTATCACTTGTTTAAGGTTTTTGTTTCACAGTGCAGCTCATGCATTATGGATTATGCCTGAAAATAGAGCATTGCTATAGCATCTTCTGTTCAGTGTTTTAAAAGCGCAAGCTGCAAAAAAAATGCAAAGGCCAGTTTGCGCCTGAAGTGCAAGACGCAAGGCAAGGCACGCACCTTTTTAAGCAAGACGTAAAATTACAAAAAAAAAAAAAAAGCTAAAAAAAAAGTCAAAAATTTTAAAAATTTAAAAAATATTAAACATAATATTAATAAAAAATATAAACTTAAATTTTAAAATAAATGTTCTAAAAAACCTATTATCTAAGATTAAAATACATAGGCATAAGGCAATGGAAGTTGTAATTTTAAATAAGACAGCGTGGCCTCTCCCTGCTTTCATCATGTACACATGGTTGTATCTGATTTTCATTCCCTCTTCTATCGCAGTTGCGTGGAGCCATGAAGAATGCTGACAATGCTCCATGGTGGCATAGTTTTCTGGTTGAGTATGGTGATTTTTGAATAACGTTCAATGCATACTAATTCTGTACGGTTGTGTTTGATTGCAATGCAATTTTATTTGCACTGATACAAATGTATGGGAGTGCAAACAAATAAATGCAAATTCTCTTGTTTTGAGTTTTACTTTATTCTGCTTTATGTCTTAATTTATTTCATTTGTAATGTAATCAAACAAAATAAGCTAAAGTTTGAAATAAAAATCAGAATTTACACTCAAATTATTTGCACTGTCACAGCTTTGCATCAGTGCAAATTTATTTACATTGCAACCAAACACACCTATGTATGTATCTCCCTCGCTAGGGCATGAGCTCTCTTGCATTAATCATCACCATCCAAGTCCGAGCTATATGAGGTCAGTTAGATGAATCCTGTTTTGTGAGTCCCTTCTGTTTAATAGCATATCCATTACTATTTCTATCCATATCCCTTTTTGTCTATCGTATGCGCCTTCTAGCCCCTTACAACTTGGGGACACACTAACAAATGACGTGAAATAAGGAATCTAATCTTTCAGTCCAAATGAAGGAGAGATTTTTGTATCAAACGAGGGGGGTATTTTCTATCGGCAGAACTGCAGAAGCAGTCTTCAAGACCAATTTTTGTTTTATCCCAAAATTTGTTGGACCATGAAAAGGCATCGCCGATTAAACACTCTTCTGCGGTGTTGATTAATAATGTAAAAAACAATTGAGAGAATCAAACATAATGGAATATTATCTCGGTTGGATCATGGATGATCTAATAGAGCTTAATAGAAGTATTAAAAAAGAGAACTGCGCCCTCTTGAGAAATGAAATCAGGACAACTATTTGTAAAACAAACAAGAATGCTTAGATATGAACAAGCTATAAATTATATACCGTTATATTACTTTGGGAATTATCTGTACAACTTAGGCATCAATCATTTGCATCACAGAACCTGGAAGAAGAAAGTGAAACGGTTTTCGGTCCACAAGTATCAATATGGGTCCACGAGTGACTTTTTCTAACAGAGAACTACGTAGCTTTGCAGACAAATAGGCTATGTACATTGAAATAACACAGAGAAAGCTAGCTGACGTCGTACAGCTTAGAATAGAGATCATCAAGGGCAACGTACAGTGGCTCAGCTGCCTTCGGTCTTTCCACTATCCCCAGAAGAATATCCGTCGTTGTTAGATAGGGATCACCATAGAATTGCAGGTTAGTATCCATCCTTGTCGCAACTATGTTTCCCTCCAGTGAAATCCCCACAAATGCTCCTGTTTCATTTGCAACATATTCACTAAGAGAACTCAGGGTCAAATGCACAATAAAACGAGATGGGATTTGTACTTGAATGTGCAAGCATGGGGAAAAACTTGTTCCAGCACATACCTACTGCACATTGAGCTTTCTTATTGTTCTCAATGCAAATAGAAAATCTACAAATACACATTCATCTAACCATGAACAATGAAAGGAACCTCCTAAATTTTTTTTGACATTATTCTAACCTATAATCTTTCTTTTTTGTTTTTTGTGAAGGTAAAATATTGTATTAATATAAAAAAAAAAATTGGGAAATTATAGAGCATGGACATCCATGTGTGTATAGGAGATCATACAATGATATAGAAAATGAAGTCTGATATACAGTTTCACAAAGGTCTCTACCAGTTCCAGTGTAAAACAAATGGGCAAAGTGAAGTGGGACATAAGGCAGAACAAGGATCTCCTACCCACAAACACTTTCCACATCCCTACCCACAGGAAACTACAGGCGTGCATTGGGAATATCTCCCTTGATACATGGGTAAGTGTTTCCAATACACAGCGGTAGTGTCTTGTGGGTAGGGATGTGGGAAGAGTTTGTGGGTAGGACATCCAGAATGCACAAGGCAAGGCTTCAAAGTAGCAAATGGCATTATCCACAGTAATACATTGGAAGTTGTGAAGGGTAATACATGAAGCAGTACAAATAGGCAAATATTCTTGGGTTAACAATGAAAATGAATGAAACCAATAATTTTAATTAGTTTACGATATATTACCCTTGCTGCAACTGTATGTATAGCACATGCCTGACCCCCTATCTCCAGCTCGAAGATCTGCTTCCAAAACTCTGCCTACAGGTCCTGCTGCAGCACTGCAACCAGCTCCAAGGGAAAAATGCATGCGACTACAAAAAGTCTTCACAGCTTTAGAATCGTGGAGCACTATTATAAAGTCCGTAAGCTCACCCCCAACCTATATCACAGCATCAGCCAAGAAATACCTTAAATATAACCAAAATACAAACAACTTTCTCATTTATTTTTGAGGGAAAGGATCAATCATTTTCAAAGTGTACGCAAGGCCAATGCCCAATGTTCCATTTCTAGTTATCCCATTTTTACTCTGAAGGGAAGGAATGTTTCTACTGCCAGCATTATGATTATTACTATATAATGCAGGAGACCAGAAAACAGATATGGAATTTCCTGAAAACTGATGCACTTTTTTATTGTTAAGCAGCTGGGATATTTTAGTCATTTTACAGGCTGTCTGTGAGGCCTGGCCTAGTCATTATCTTTAATAGCCATATTTTAGTTCTGCTCAAAATCTCAGCTGTTGTTTAAGTACTAAGGTGGCATTCGGTAGCACCGAAAACAATCTCCAAGCATGTCTGGAGGTAGCGGACAAAATCTCACTTCCGACGATGCCCTTTTATAAATTAAAAAAAAAAAACCCAAAACTGGTCATTGTTTTCCTGTTCAAACAGGCTCCAATCCTCTCTCTCTCTTTCTCTCTCTCTCTCTCTCTCTCTCTCTCTCTCTCTCTCTCTCTCTCTCCCCTCTTGCTGCTGTTATGTGGTCTTTCATTGCATGAGTTGTATTCGGTCTTTAGAGTCAATGGTGCTCTGTTTCAATGTTCAGATTCATGGTTGTAAACTTGTAATTGGACAAGGGAGCTGAGGGGGTTGAGGGAGTGAAAAAGAAAGAATCTGGTTTCCATTTCCGTCCCTCTGTTAGTGATCGATCAATCAATTGGTGTTGAAGCTATACTTTGAAAACTTTGGGGCTTTCAATAATCTGGTTTCCGTAGTGATCGATCAATCGATTTTTGTTGAAGCTTGTTCAACAGGGAGGGAAAAGAAAGAATCTAAGCTGATCATCTGAAAAAATAGGATATTGAAGACCTGACTTTTCAAGGAACACATGTCCAAGCATCATCCTGATTTGATTATTCTCTAACAAAAAAAAATCCTGACTTTATTATTTGCAAAGAACAGCCCGGAATTCCATTGGGCGACTGTAAATTTGTATTCATATGTGCACCTCTGCACACGTGTCCTACACCCTTAGCACACTTGTCCAACTTTGTCATGAATATAAATATGGACCATTTCAAGGTCCATGCATAATCTGTAGAGGTGTGGAGAGATAGGGACGGCTGTCCAAAGATTTTTTTTGGAAAGTCCAAAACACATCTCTTCTATCAATGCAAGAAATATGACCTTAAGAAAGATAGATGTATACTTGATCTTTCTGTTGTTCTTTGCATTTATTTGATCCATGATATAGAATAGTGAAGGCTTCTGTTAAAAGAGCTTTGTGGAAATAAGAACAGAAATTTCCTTTTGGTGAATTTATCAAAAAAAAATTGTTTTGGTGATAATATAATACGAGGGAGACGGACTTGTTAATGAGTACTATTACCTTTTCTTGCAAGTTGTAATTAGCATTCCCCCTTAACTTTTTTATCTTTTTAACATTATTGTTAATTTTTTATAATATTATTTATTAATCTTTTTATTGTGTCTAAATTTATTTTATTTTTATAATATATTTCTATTTATTTTTAAATTTTAGTAATTTTTAATATTATTTATTAATTTATTTATTTTATCATTTCTTAAAATTTTATATTTTTTATTATTTTATAATATTTTCTTAATATCATAATATTTTAATCATTTTCATTTATTGTTATTTAAATAAAAGTTTGAGGGGTAAATTTGTAAAATAAATATTTGTCAGACATCATAGCATTCAGATTACCGAACAACTCCACTACATTCAGATGTTTGCAAAAGCAGAAAAACAAATTTCCCATGGATTGCTTTCTGAGCATTTTCAGAGTTTTTTTTTTTTTTTTTGCTTTCCAGACTTCAGATTTACCGAACATCTTTCATAGTGTCATATCCATGGTTGTCAAGGTGTTCTTGAAGGGTCACGTCACCCAAATGCCTACAAATTTATATGTAAGACACCACATAAGACTTTTATAGAGCGCTTAGGCAACTAGGTGACAGGGCGCTCCATTATCCCCTTGCTTCGCCTTGGCGCCTTGAAAACTATGGTCCTATCTTAGTCATTATCCTTTTCTTCAATTATGAACAGAGATAAGGCAGCTCAGTTTAAATCAAAAAATAAATAGGCATCAAGTCTAGTGAACTGAAAGTATGTATCTTTACCTGAGCTCCCCATCCTAAACCAAGAGACAAGATGGCTGATGGTGCAGACCATGATCCATCTGACCTCCGAGCAACAACCAGACCAGTACCCAGTTTGTATGTGACAAGTACACCAGCTTTAGCAACTGTAATAATTGCTAAGCCTTTGGCTCCTTTCAGAACTGCCAAGGGTATAGACCTCTCGGGGTTCAACCTAGAAACCTGCCAATTTCAACAATGACATTGTAGAAGTGTCAATCATGTAAAACTAAAAACAATAAGGGGAAGTACTTGCTGAAACAAATGAAAATAGATCATGTTGGCTCAGTTTGGCAGACTTCAAGGTCTCGTTCATCATCATCATTGATGCCTTATCCCAACATGGCCACTTTGTAATTGAATTACTAACAACATTACTCAAGAGATAAAAATAAAAGGAAAAAAATTAAACAATCATGGTGATAAGATAACTACATGGTAGAATCAATGGCCTAAGTGAGTTTCCATAAGCTTCCTAAATTTTATTTAAATCAATGGGATAGAGTTGAATACAACAAATTAAGCAAAGAGAACTTTTATGTGAAGAAATGTACCTGGCAGTAAGTCCTCAAGGTATTAGACGATTTGTATATTTCATGTTCCATGGATAACCCCACTGGCAAATTTAACCACCCTCTTGTACATGTCCAGTCCATGACATCGTGCTTTGCAACTTGCACAGCATTGCTGACAGAATGTATCAATACCCCTTGGAGTGGATCTAGTCTATCATAACAGGTGTCACACACTCTCTGAGGATTCCTCTCCCTAAACTTAACAGGCAACAAACACCTTCCCTTTGTGCATTCTCTGCAGAAAATACCTCCACAGAACCGACAATGATGCCTGCCACGAGTAAGTGCTGTAAAGCGTGCAGTGCACTGCATGCACACTGTAGTAGAACTATCCGGAAGCCATTCTGGAGGTTCAGCCTCCAAGACTTCCCTATAAGCACTGTAGTTGATCCCATTTGGCTCAAAAAGTGGTGGAGCACTTGGTATATAGACTGATGAATGCAAAAAACTATCTCCATTCTTTCCAGATCCCAGAAAGGACACATTAGAACTGGAGTTCATTGGACCATCAATAACACTTGAACTTTTATTGCGGCCCAGCAGAATAGCAACCATACCGCTCAACACATTTTTCAAATTCACCTCTGGAGGCATGCTAGGTGGCAGAGAATTCAATGCTTCCTCACTTGAATCATACTCTCCATCAAGAAAATCATCTGAATCAGCAGATAATTGATACGGGTTATCTTGTTTTGAGACCCTTGAGCCCATAATGCAGGTACTCCTGCCTTCATGCACAGTCCAGGCATCATCACCATAGTCTTCATCATACTGGTACCTAGTATTCTTTTTGTCAAGTGCAGAAAGTGAAGAATATAGAACCTTTGCCCCAGATGATTCCATGCCTTACTACTATGTGCAATTGGAATAAAAAAATACAAGCACTTCCACTACAGTTCACAACAAGTGCCCCAGTCAGAAGCTCTGTCAGATATAAAAAACAATGATTACTTGTCTGTGATTATCTCAATTAGACAATAATAATTTAACTAAATCAATGTAAATGAACTTTTGTTATTGATAAGTACATATTTTGATCAGAATTTCTCTGTTTCGTTTTTTGCCAGTATCAACTAAAATTGGCCGGGTGGCAGAGCAGAACTTGGTGATCTATAAAATATTAGCTATCTTACCATTTCACAAGTCCAAAATATTTAAAAAGGCACAATTTTTAAGAACAAAAAGAAATCAAATTCTGGAGTCCAGATAAGAAATTCTAATACAAGAAAATAAGATGAGCTGAATCAGCATATTAGTAAAATTCTAATTTCTCTAATTAAACATTGTCTTTATCAACACACATACAAAATCAGATGAAGAAAGAGAAAGCACCAGAAAAGAATTTGAAGCAAAAAAGTGTAAGGGAAACTGTAGAAAATAGGGTCGTACATGGATCGGTTCGGTTCGGTTGTATATAATTTACCCAACCGTACCGACAACCTCAGGTTCACTTTCTCAGCACCCGAAACCAACTGAGATAACCTGAAAACTGACCTAAGCATAGACTCCTCAATTTGGTCCGTTTCTCAGTTTGTTGATTGGTCAATACGAATTACCTATGTCCTATTGATTTTAATTAAATGAATAAATGGTCAGCAGCAGTTGTAACTCATAATCCCTATCTGCATACAAGTACATACACCGTTCCAAATCCACAGCTCTTTAATTTCACTCGTTTCTTTCCCTGCCTACTGCCTAGATGTACTCATAAGATTGATCTCCACTGTGTAACAGAAACAGTGGTGCGTTTGACAAAGTAGAATTTTTAACTTTTGAACTTTAGAATCCACCGACAGAGGCTAGAGGCTAGAGTCTAAATTCAAAAAAGTAAAAAAGAACAACATTTAATGTCACTCACTATACCATACATTTAATGCTCCAGCTAAATGATTAGATTGGGAACCAGGGGTTGAAAATAAGGATCACTTGGTTAATTGGGAATAGGTTAGTAGGCCAAAGGAGAAGGGGGACTTGGATTAGGTAATTTGGTTCAGAAGAATCTAGCTCTCTTAGGCAAGTGGCTATGGAGATTCCCACTTGAAAGTAAAAGGCTCTGGCACAGGGTTATTAAAAGCATACATGAGCAATCGGACTGTGGCTGGGATGCAAAGGTAGCCTCTAATGCAAATTTAACCTCTCCTTGGAAAGCAATCTATGAGGTATATCACATCTTCCTCAATCTCATTCGGTATGATGTGGGAAAAGGACTAAAAGTCTTGTTTTGGGAGGATATTTAGTTGGGGGACAATCCTTTCAGAATCCAGTTTCCTTTGCTTTATGCACTCTCCATTTACAAACTTGAACCTATCTCAAAATGGGTTTAAGTTGAGACTTTGGTTTTAGAAGAGGGCTTAGGGATTCAGAATATGATTCTCTTATGCTTTTGTTGGCTAGACTCGAATCAGTCTATTTGGACCAAAATTTGGAGGACAATAGGGTGTGGCCAATTTCCCCGGATGGATACTTCACTTGTGCCTCTTTTTTCAATTTCTTAACACAACTTACTACTTTCATTTTCTTTGTTTTTTTTTTTTTTTGATAGGTTGCTTTCGGGGTGAATTTCCTGGTGAAAGAAATTAGGAGGAAGCCTATCCCTCCTAAAATTCAGGCCCTTTGTTGGGAGATCTTTCTTGGAAAGATCAACACCTGTGATGTGTTGCAAAAATGAAGGCCAAGTGCCTATACCCTCACATGTGTTCTCTTTGCTAGAATGGTGGTGAAATAATTTCCTATTCCTTTGTCATTGTATTAGGGAGCAGCTTTGTTTTCTATTTGGGGTGCAGATGGACTCCTCCTCAAGATGTGGTAGGCCTTTTTTATCCTCATTTCTTGAGACAGCCAACAAAAAGAGGAAGGTTACCTTGGAAACCAATGAGAACAGCTATTGTTTGGACTATTTGGGAAGAAAGAAATGGGAGAGTTTACAATGATAAGAGTAGAACTCAGGCAGAAATCTTTGATTTAGTTAAACTAAAAACTGCATATTGGGTGAAAACATTGGATGACTTCAAAGCCTTTTTTTTATTGGAAACAGTAACTTTCATTGAATTAGTAAAGGAGTACAATGCCAATCACTCACAGCATGAGTGTTGACCCCATATTTTATCCCAAAATTTACAGTACAGCCCAAAAAAGATTTTCCCTTTGAGTTCCCTGTTTTGCCAAAACCTTTTCACTGAATGAGATTTTGAGAACTTAGAAAGAGGTGGCACTATCGGCTCTAGACAAGGCAAGGATAGTAATGGAGTGGAAGCCCCCAGCCCCCAATTTTATAAAACTCAACTTTGATGGAAACTTTATTAGCAATAGTAGATTGGCCGGGGTAGATATAAAAGGTAGAGTGGTGGCCTTGTATTCAGGACCCTTGGAGCATGGTGATGCATCGACAGCTGAACTGGTTAGTCTACTGTAGGTGTTAACGATTGCAAAACAATTGGGCTTCCACAATCTGGAGGTGGAAGGGGATTCCCAAACAGTCATTTCATGGACCAAGAACAGTACCCAGATTCCTTGGTTATTCCGGTATAAATTCAGGGAGATTGTAATCCTAACAATGGAGACAAATGTTGCCTTTAAGTGGGTCAGAAGAAGAGCAAATGGAATTGCAGGTTCTTTGGCTAAACAAGGGGCTGTGAGAGAGCAAATGTTTTGGGCAAATCTGTAATCTTCTGTTGTTTTGGGATGAAATTTATACCCAAGCTCTTGTAACTCCTAAGTTTTCATCAATAAATTTCTTCTTCTACTGATCAAAAAAAAAAAGAAAAACAATTGCATCAGAGGACAGACCCCTACCCACAGGTCTTCCCAAAAACAAATTTGTTACCACTCAAGGGATCATAAATTATGTGTTTAAGAAATAATGTTTGCTCTCAAATTTTGAATTGCCTTGGTTCATTCTTCATTAATCTTGAGGCACTGTCAATTCTTTCTCACACCCTTTCTTCCCTCTTCAAATTCTTTCAAGATTATGCTGAAGGAAGAAAAAGTGATTCTTTCATCAATACTTATTTCTCCATCACTAAAGACCATTATCTATGATGTAAAACTCATTCTAACATCATGAATTTGCATCTTCAATTAACTTACATGGAGTTTGGATTGTATACAATTGAATTGGATTATAAAGTTGAATCTCCAAATGGTTCATATTTTTCAAATCTTGACAATTTTTCCAAAATCTATGGTCCTATAATCAGGTTGTAGATGGATTAACTAGATCTCAGAATTGACTATAGAATCTATTCGTAAAATATGAAAACAACCTCCAAAATCTGACTTTGTGAATCCAGATTCTAGTATGCAACCTAAATGCCTTGATGCCCTCTTAGGGTTCCTAGAACCCTAGAAACATCCCTATGTCATCCCTATACCTTAAAATTAAATTTAGGGATCCCATTGTCTTTCCTGTGTGCATATGTTTTGGGAGTGGCACAAGTTTGGTTAAATAAGCAACTCTACCAGAAGCCCAAAACTTAGTGTGGTCAGCCATGTGTTCAAGTTCAAAAAGGAAACTTATTGAACATAACAACTAAAAATGGAATTAAAGTTCTGCATTCTGTTTAAATATTATTTAATAATTACCCAAATAACTATGTTGTCAAAGGTATTGCATATGCCAAGTTTGTTGATTGTCCAAAAAACTCTCCATGATCCCCCTCTTTATGCTCTATTAACTAGAGTTATCAATTCAGCGAGGCAATGGCTAGTCATTTTAGTCTCTCTGGTCAGTGCCTAGGTTCTGACTAGTTAACCAAGAAAAGATATGTTCTAAACTTAAGGCATTAACTAGTCAATATCTTGTGGCTAACAGAAACAAATAAAGTTTTAATATAGTTGTGCAACTTACTAGTTCGACTAGTCATTACTTATACAATGTTTCCTCATCCCAGGAGACAGCATCATGAGTATCAACTAACTAGTTAGTAAAGCAATTACTCTGGCCCTCGACTGACTAGTTAATGGCTAGTGAACACTTTGGTAACACTGTTGTTAACAGGGAAAATTTTAGCCCAAGTGCCCAACAAGAAAGCAAAGCACTCTGCTATGGATAACTTTTAAATTTCAAAAACTTAAGGACAGAAATATAGATGGCACAAGAGCTTTGATTGCAGTTTATAACAGATACACAATTTTGAAGCTCGCTCATGAAGATTTAAAACAGACAATTTGTTTTTTGACCATCATCAATTTCTCTTTCATTCTTTTTAAATAAATGAATCATCTATTTTCATCGCTAACCAAATCATGAACTACAGAAGCTTTCTTCGTCTGCCTACGACAAAGAAAGAAAAGAAAAGAAAAAAGAGTACAAGAAAAAGAACCTTTCTTCCTCTAAGAATCTTCTTTTTATGTTGGTATCATCAATTGTCAGATAGCCGAGCAGATTTGCGAGACTCATCCGAAATTTCTATCTAAAATGATTTTGCAAGCCTCATATGGTGAAAAATTACAATACTCTCCAACCAAAAGAAATTAAATCCCAAGCCTTATATACTTGGTAAAAGAAAAGAGATCGATTTTCCTAATTTAGGTTTACAAAATTCCAATTTCTCTATCAATCAGTGTTTCTACCAGCGATAATCCATAGAAACAAGGACAAAAAAGATGCAAGAATTTCATTTCAAACAAACAGATTTAAAAAGAAATTAAAAAGAACGATATAATTCAGAAGAATTGACAAACTTAACAAATTAAAAGAATTATTCCATAAACCTCAGAAATAAGAATAAGAGAAATGAAGGCGCGAACCTTAACGAGAAGGTTGAGATAGATCTCATCCGATACCGGAGCTGTTCGCTTCGTTTTCTCTTGGTGCGACTAGATTGTTATCCTGTAAATACAAAGCTTTCGAATCAAATAAACCGGAACCCTAGAAATGGAGAAGCAGCGTTTCTTGTTTCTTTCCGAGGAAGGCGACAAAGAGATCAAAATCCCTGTACAAACCCAGCCTAGGTGGGGGGAGTTGTGAAATGCCAGCGGTACGGTACCGCAAATTTACGTGATTTACAAGTTGTTAAAACAATAAAACTTCTAGCTAGCTTACGTGAGTTGCACGTTCGTTAAAACTACAAGCAAGTGAGCAACTACGGCTTCAAACGTATCGGAGCGAATCGAATCGGATATATTTTGATCCAAATTTAATTATTTTATGTATATTATAACCAAGTTTTTTAAAACCGATTCGAAGAACGAACAGGTCAGGGTCCAGTTCTTGGGTCGAACGGTCCGACCGTTTGATTCTAATAAAAAAAATTTAAAAATTTAAAAATTATAAAAAATAAAAAATGGTCAAAATCATTCAAACGATTAACCACCCAAGTCAATGGTTTATTGACCAAAATCAACAATTTTTTAAAAAATCCGATTTTGGGGGAAAATGGAACCGATCACCTGATTCCTGATTTTTCCGGTCTGACCATCCGATTCGGTTCGATTTTGAAAACCATGATTATAACTCATCGTGACTTTTTTACATTTCTCCTAAATTCACCATGACTTTTCAAAACATTCACATAACCACTCGTCATTGAGTTTTATTGTCCATAGCTCATATCCCGTTAAGATTTCAGTTAAAAGAGTGATCATTAATAAAAAGTTAAAAGAGTGGTCCATGTAAGCATTTAAGTATTTTATATGACTAAATTATCCCTAAAATTGTTAGTCAATCTTATTAAATATTTGTATGATAAAATTACCCTTGAAATAGTTGGTCAACATTATTAAATACATCAGACCTAGGATGGCTTGAAGTATTAGGCCCAAGCCCAAGCCCAATTATAAAATTTGTGGGCCTAGTATAGGCCCAGATAGGGGTGGCAACGAGCCAAGCTTTTCACGAGTTGTTCGAGTTCGGCTCGTGAAAAGGTTGGCTCGGCTCGATTTTCAGCTGAGTTCGAGCCCAATTTAGTGGCTCGATTATTAAACGAGTCGAGCTTGAGCCTACTAGAGCTCGGCTCGTGAAGGAGGCTTACGAGTCGACCCGAATATATATATAATAAAATTATAGAAAATATATATAATAAAAATATTATAATTATTAATTATTATAATTCTTAATTTTTTAAATATAAAATAAATATATATATATAATTTTTATTTTTATAAAAAAAATTATAATAAAATATTTATAAAATATATAATAAATATTTTTATAATAAAACGAGCCGAGCCGAACCGAGCTCGAGCTCAAGGTTCTAGCTCAAACCGAGCTTGAGCTCAAGCTCGAGCCTTGTAGAATAGTCTTGAGCCGAGCTCGAGCCTGGTACTATTCAGCTCGGCTCAGCTTGAATCCACCCTAAGCCCAGACCCAAATATAGGGATAATTTTGTCATAAAAATATTTAATAAGATTGATTAACCACTCAGAGATAGTTTGATCATGTAAAATAGCTAAATATCTTAATGAAATGTGAGTTTTAGATAATAAAACTCAATGACGGGGGGCTATGTGAATGTTTTAAAAAATCATGGTGAATTTAAGAGAAATGTAAAAATTCAAGGTGAATTTTAGATAATATCCCATTATTTTATAATTTGAATTCTTTTATAGGTAAATAAAAAATATATTAAATAAAGCCAACAAAATTTACATATTGTTAAAGCCACTAGCAGATCCATGGTGGGTCACCATAAAACAAAGGAGAAGTGATTAAATTGGAATGGGATCATGTCCTTCGGATTTATATTAGATTCAAAACAAGTTCCGAGTGCAATTTGATATTGAATAGGGTCAATGAAAATATGAAATCCCTTTTTTCAAAAAAGAAACTGTTAATAAATTAAACTAAAAATGATGAAAATATCATAAATTTAAACTAACTTTAACCATATATTTTTGTGTATTGAACTTTAACCATATATATGATATATTAGTGGGGACCTGTGTAATATAGGGGTTTTATTAAACGAAATTTAAACAATAGAAATACATAAGAATAATCATTTTTTTATATTTTAACTTTTGAAATAATTAATAATTCTATATCTGATCCAAAGATCCAATTGGATCTAATCATTGCCTCCTTTTTAGTTGTGCATATGACATTGGCTTTTCATATAATTATAAGAATGCCATAAAAAAGTAACGATTTTTTACTTAATTACAATATTGCCTTCCTCTCTCTCTCTTCTCCCAAGAATTCAACCACTCTCACTATAGCACTAATTTTTTAATTTTTCAATTATCTTCTCCATGAACTTTTAATATTACAAGATAATAAATGTCTTTAATATATTTTTTTAATTAATTAATTAATTCTTCTAATTATATTTCACCTAGGCAAATTCTAAGTTGGGGTTAAAGTATCGAATGACCTTTTAATATCATTTACAAGATAATAAATGTTTTCAATACATTTTTTAATTAATCAATATAATTAATTAAGTCTTCTAATTATTTTTCATCTAGGCAAGCCCCGAGCTATGATTGAAGTATTGGAAACAAACCTAACTTGGAAACTTGTGGGCCTAATGCACACACAAGCCTTGGGCCAAGCCTGATCAAAAAACTTATGCCCAAGCCTTGAATTTTTGAGTTAGGCCAGACTTGGGTTAGTTGGTCCCACACTTGACTTGGAACTTTGTGAGCCTAATGTAAGCTCGAGCAGGCCTAGTGTAGGGCCAAGCTCATACTAAGTCTAAACACAAAACTTAGGACCTAGCCTAGAATTTTGGGGCTAAGTCAGGCCTTTTCATCTACCTCTAATGTCTCATTCGAATTCCATGGAACAAAAATATACTAATATTTTAAACCATTCTCTCTCCTCTCAACTCAACCACTCCCTTTGTTGGGTTGGGCTTGAAGTATTGGGCCCAAGCTAGACTTATAAATTTGTAGGCTTAGGCTGGACCTAAACACAAAATATATCCCAATCTTAGAATTTTTGGGTCAACTAGACCTCAAGCTAGGCCAAAAGTATTAGGCCAAAGGTCTTCCGCCCGGATCGGCCCACCGAGGCGAGCCTTGGGTCCAAAAGGAGGGGCGATGCCCCGCCTCCGACTAACGGAATAAGTAAAATAACGTTAAAAGTAGTGGTATTTCACTTCTGCCCGAGGGCTCCCACTTATCCTACACCTCT